TTTTTTGTTGAAAATAGGCAGCGGACAAAACTTTCAAATCTACTTCTCAAATAAGAGAATAAATATAGATTTATTTTAAAAAAAATGAAGATAAATTGTTTTTAAAATTATTAATTAAAATAAATTATTTACAATTTAACATTTAACTTCATCGCATGTTAATTGTTTTAAAAAATATAGATAGATAACAAATGGATTTTTGCCATTCAGTAATATCATATATTAAATAATATGTGATTTTTTAATTAATAATTTTAAAAAATAATTTATTTTTATTTTCGAAAAAATAAATTTATTCCTACATGCTTCTATTTAAAGGACGGATAGTGGGTTCTGCACTCTTTATGAAGAGCCTGAAGTGAACTTTAAAATACTGTATATTTGGACGCGCCTACTGGAGATATTAGTGCAGCAACAACAATCTTGAGGGCAAGGTTGCCTAAGGGAGGCAATTGATTCGCGTCTAATTTGTATAGTTTACATTAGACTCTTGAACTTTAGGCTTAGTAGCGTTGTATGCAAGTCAATTAGTATAAAATGGGTAGCCTCTATGTTGAATGTTGAATGAATTACATCTATCCTTCTCATTAATTTCTCCCTCGTCCCTTTCTCAATTACTCTGTTCTTTCTCCCCTTTTTCTTTTATTCTCACCTTGATCTATTCTGTTGGCCTTTCCTTTAACTCCTGTTTGTATGCTATCATTTTTCCTCTATTAGCTTTTGTTAGGAAGAAAATGACGGTAGCAGAAATACATCATTGATGGTGTGATACTTTTTTGTGTTTTGAACGGTGGAAGAGCATGTGAATGCGTGACTTAATGTAAGAGCTCCATCATAAGTGAATAAAACCATACTAAATTCTAAATATTTTTATTGCTTTTATCATCATTAACTATGATTCATTATTGTCATCACATGAACTTTCATCAGCTTATCACAGGCATCACATTAGAACAATTATGCAATTCTTGGCTCTTAGCTCCTATAGTAATTAAGGGAGGTAATTTTTTTTTTTTTATAAATTTTTAATTTTATTATGGATAAATTCTTTGATCAAATAGTAGAATGAATTTAATATGTTTCACGAAGCTAACTCATGATGTCTATATGATGGATTATTTTTTACTCTCTTTGTTTAATTTTAATAGATTTAGTTTTTAATTTAAAATTTAAAATTTAGTTGTTTATTTTTTTAAGATAGGAATATGATTCAAAGATAATTTTTTGTATAATTTTATGTATCAATTAAATAATTAATTTTTTATATTTAGAACTTATGATATTGAGTATATTTAATTATTTAATAATATATAAAAATTATATAAAAAAACTGTACAAAAATATTGTGACTATTTTACTACCCTTTAAGATGTCATTTAATACATTTAATACATTTATTCTTATTTTGCATTTTTTTTAAATTTTGGTGACACAATATGGGAGACAACAATCTCCTATCCGTTATGACCTTATCACAGTCCACTCGCATGCTATGCGACTCGAATTTAAAATCTCTTATTTCCAACGAAAGTAAATAATCATTGAACCAATTAACCACTGAACCATTTAAGTCATTGATTATTTTACACTTATTTTAAAAAAATAATTACAATATATATTACATAAAAAATTTTATTTAAGTGATACTTAATAAGAGATTATAATATGAAATTTTATTAATAAATTATTATATTTTTATTTTATTAATAAAAAATTAAATTTACTAAAATTCAACAGACCAAAGTCATTGAATTTGATTTAGCATGAATTTATCTTTGAATAATCCGTTCAAAGCTGATGAGGTGGAGATGGGCTTACAAAAACCAAAATGATATGATTTCTCTTTAGTTTGCCAGGTGGGAATAAATGATAACCAAGAACTGTAATGGTTAATTATTTAACTTCAGTTCAAAAAAAAAAAAAAAAGAACTGTAATGGTTAATTAATAATATATATTTATTACTTATAGTTTGAAATTAGTTTATAATTTGATGTTTTTAAACATTTTAATTAGTTGTTTAAGAAAAAAAAGTTATATATTGATAAAATCAATTAAATTAAATACATGTATAGTTATAATGTTACATAAAATTATAAATTTACAATAATAATAAGGTTGGGTTATTATCATA